TTTCCGTTGCTTTGTAATAAGTTACCACAAACTTAGTTGCTTAAGACAATGTATGTTAATTATCTCACAATTTCTGTGGATCATGAACACAGGTGTGGCCTAGCTGGGCCCTCTGCTTAGGACCTCACACAAAGCTGCAGTGGATGCAGGCTCTTACCTGGAGGCCGGGACCTCTTCCCTTCTCCTGTGGTGTAACGTCCCCCTGCATCTGTGGAACTCAGGGCAGTTTATTTCTCTATGGCCCCTGAAAAAGCAATCTAATGCCTCTCTTTCTTTGAAAGGCTTCTGTGATTTGCATTCTAATGACATAAATGAATACCATCATGTTTTTAGATTCTGTCCCCACACTTGAAAGGTGGGATTACACAGGGTGACCACGGGAGTGGGTAGTGATCTTGGGGCATTTAAAATTCTGCCTACTGAAAAGTGAAACTCAGATCTACCATGGGTCTAAATTATCTTTGAAACAATTGTTTTCATTTGACACGATTTGAAAATGTAAAAATTCACATTTAGTATGATTTATGGACTAAATGTCCCTACAAATTCGTATGTTAGTGCCTGAACCTCCAGTGGGATAGTATTTGGAGATGGTGCTTTTGGAAGGTTAGTTATTAGGCTCAGATGAAGAGAGGATGGGCCTTCATGATGGGATTAGTGCCCTTTTAAGAAGAGAGCTTAGATAGAAGAGAGCTTGCTTTCTCTCCACCAAGTGAGGAAACAGGGAAAAGTCAGCCATCAGCGAGGGAGGGAGAGAGAAAAAAGAGAGAGAGAGGGAGAGAGAGAGTGCGCTCACCCACACCTAACCTTGCTGGCATTCTGATCTTGGACTTTGAACCTCCAGTGCTCTGAGCAAATAAATTTCTATTGTTTAAGTCACTTAGTTGATAGTATTTTGTTATGGCAAACTAAACTGATTAATACATCACACATCTACTTTATTATTACGTTTTACTTTGTATACACACATGAGTGCAATTTTATAACATAGTGCAGCCATAGACAATTCAGTGGGATTATTTGGTGAATTCTGCTATTTGTTCTTTAGCACTTTTTTTTTTTTTTTTTGGTACTGGGGATTGAACCTGGGTCCTTGCGCTTGTGCAGCAGGTGGCGAAAATTTAGCACATTTTTGATGCATTTCACATTAAAGAACAATGAAAATTTTATAAAGAATAAATTCAGTTGTTTGTCATTGTTTTGAGGTCTAGAGGGAATATTGAATTGTCTCAATAACCAGCTGTTTAATGAATTCAGTATCCTTCATATTAAAAAGGACATATTTTGTATTCCTCCCACTAAAGTCCCTCCATAAAGCAAGGAATAAAAATGGACCATAACCAGATTATAAATAAACCTAAGTAGGAATAACATCAATACATATATACATGTCTTTTTTAGGGAAAACTATTTTCCACTTGTCTAACATTAATAAAGTATACTAATAAGAAGAAAATACTATTAGAAGGCCTTTAAAATTATGCCACCTAACAAACAATGATCACTTTCAGAACATGATATGAGTTATTGCTATAGAATTTAACTATACTTCCTTAAAAGTGGTCTTTCCATAATCTTTGCAGAAAGGTTAAATAAGTTAATTTTAGTTCCACTATTTAACTAGTAAAAGAAACTTTTGTTAAGATTTTTAAAGGTATCTTTAGGAGTGATTTGAAGTGTCTTAGAATTCACATCATAAAATTATACCAGACAGACTTTACTAGCTCCTTCATTTGTTAACCATGAAATATAATTTCATAATTGTTTACCTTTTATGCATTAGTTAATAGAATTAAAGGAAGTAACAAAATTAATATAATAAAATTACAGAATAAATACCAGTTAATTGGAAATTTATTACAAAAGAGAAAAATAAAAAAGGGAATGAAGCTGAGATTGACGTTGTAGGGAGTTCCAAAATTTGGCTTTAAGTACTGCAGAAGTGAGTAAAAAGAGAAGAATAACACTATTGTCAACACAGAAAAAAAATTCTCCCTTAAATCCTTATAAAGTGGTATATGATTCATTCATTCACTGCAAAAATATAGTTAAGTAACAACTATATGTCAGGTACTGTTTTAAATTTTGGAAGTATAAGAGTGAACAAAAACAAGGAGTCTGCTCTCATGAAATTTATATTCTATTGCAAAGGTGCAGATAATAAGCAAAAGAAAACCATGGATTATATCAAAAAGAAAAAAGGAAGGCAGAAAAAGAGAAAGAGGAGGATGAGTAGATGAGGAAGTGGTGTTCAGTTAGAGCTTCTCTAATGATAACACTCATTTTGAAAGCATCCTGGAAAACATAACTGACTGAGCCATGCAGTTATTTGGGCAAAAAGCTTTCCAGGTCAAGGGGAAATCCACTTCAAATTCCCTGAGGTGGTAACATGCCTGGTGTGCTCTGTGGAAAACAAGAAGACCTGAAGGAAGAGAGTGAAAGAATTTTCTCTGAGTGAGGTGGAAGCCATTTGGAAGGGTTAGATGCTGAATTGAGTAGAAAGTGAATAGAAACAGGCAGATAAGTTAGGATTCCACCCAAATAATCTAGTAAGAGGCTATGATGGCTTAGGTAAGAAAGGTAGCAGTTATGATGGAAAAAACTGGTTGTATTCTGAATATCTTTTGAATATAGAGACATGTGGGGTTCTGGAGTAATTAGAGAAAGAGAATGTGATGAACAAAGGATTTTGGCTCTAACTTTTGGAAGAATAGAGACTCCATTGACGGGGAAATGGGAAAAATTGGGAAGGAGTAGACTTAGATCCTGTGGCAACTTAGAGTAACCAACTGGATAACGAATTGAGAACCAAGAACTGAATACCATGTTTACTGAGTTCAGGCCATAGTCACTGTTGACATTGACAAGTATATTTGCATTAAAACTGTGTAGCTATAATTCTGGTCAGGGCAAGTGGAAGGGAGAGTAGATGGAGAAAAAAATGGAGAAGGCAAGTAGAAAAAAATTTTGAAGAAATTTTTGCTTAAAATAGAGCAGAGAAATTGGGCAGTATCTGTAGAGGAATGGCAGAGAAAGAAAGATTTTTTCTTCTAAGATAAGAGGTATTAAAGTATGTTGTATATTGAAAGCAATAATGTAGTAGAAATAAAAAATGATGGAAGCAATAAAGGAACAATTACAGAGAAGGAGTAAACATGGCCCTTATGTGTTCCTTTAAGTAGGCAGAGGAGAAATATTCATGAGACTATTTACATTACTCAATTTAGGTTTGTAGCAGATCCCAAAATCCACTTCTATGGAAGTGGAAAGATTTAATTATGCAGCAGGTGCAAAGCTTTGCACTGATCTGGTTAATCCAAGAAAAGATTGGAGTGTATCTGGAGGAATGTATACATGGATGAAATCCTTAGGCAATGCTTCATAGAGTTTCTATTTTTTCTTAATTGAAACTTTGATAATTTATAAGGGATAATAAGCTCAAAGTTCTTCTCCAGATTCCTCCAGTCTACTCATGCACTCTGTTATGTATCTTAGACTATTTTTTGTTACTAATAACACAGTACAACAACTAGAGTAAATTACAAAGAAAAGCAATTTATTTGGGCCCACAGTTCTGTTCTGAGGTCAAGGTGCTGCACCTGGTGATGGCTTTTTGCTGACCCAGTCCTTAGGTGTTGCCAGGTATCAAGATTGGAGAGCTGCATTTATTTAGGAAGTTAAGATCTGGCTATGATCAAAAATGGAGAAAGGAACCCCTCTCCATTGCTGGTGGGAATGCAGACTGGTGCAACCACTGTGGAAATTAATATGGAGATATCTCAAAAAATTAGGATTAGTGGTCCCATTTGACCCAGCTATCCCTCTGCTGGATATCTTCCCAAAAGAATTAAAAGAATCATACCACAGTGATATATGCTGTGTATCTGTGTTTATAGTGGCACAGTTTGTAATAGCTAAAACTTGGAAACGGCCCAATTGCCCATCAATTGGAGACTGGATAAAGAAGATGTGGGGTTTTTTTAATAAAATGAAGTACTACTCAGCCATAAAGAATGAGAAACATTTATATCTAAATGGATTCACATTGAAGCCATACTCTTAAGTGAAATAAATAGGACACACATGTGTAAATACCAAATAGTTTCTCTGGTATGAGAAACTAAAACTGTAAATAAGAATCAAAATGTAAAATTGATAATGTGAAATAGGAAGAAAAGGTCTAAAGGGGAAGGGAAACTGAGAGGGGTAGGGGAAAGGAAAGAAGGGAAAGTAAAAAATATGAGAAGATAAAAAGTGGTAATAAAATCTTTGTAAATAGGGAGGGGTAGAGGGGTTGAAGGGAGGGCAGGGGAATGGGGAAAAATAAGAACCCAGATATATCATGTAAAGGTATAAGTTGCCAATGATGAATGTCATTGTATTGTATACCTGTAATGTACCAATAAACTTAATAAAAAAATTAAGTTTTTCAAATTTTTCTGCTTTTCCTTTTGCTCCCAATTCTTGCTGTGAATCTGGCTAAGGGTAGCTAGTGGTACCTATGCACAGACTGAATATTAGGCTACCTTTCACTTGGTCCACTGCCCTTAGTCTCAGTCTCCCCCAAAGTCTCAGGACATGAACAAAAATAGAAAATTTTCTGCCAGAGTATAACATACATCCTGGCCTCTAACCCAACTGCCAATTGAGTCCTTATTCCAAACTGAAAGCTCCTGAGATTTGCCTTTACTCTCTGCATTCCTATCAGCATTCTGGTCTACAAACCACTGACCAGAACCATCATCAGGCTCTGTTTACAGCATTCTAGGTCTGCTCTAGTCCTCATTTCCAAACTCCTCTCACAACCACTTCCAAATGCAGGTATAGTCACAGAAAGAGCCCCACTTCTCTAGTACTAATTTTTTGTATTAGCTCTATTTTTGCTGCAACATAATACCCGAGTTTAATTTAGCTCACAGTTTCAGGGGATTCAGTCCACAGTTGGCTGTCTCCAAAGCAGAAACATCATGGTGGAAGGGCATAGAAAAACAAAGCTGCTTAGTTCATGGGGACTGGGAAGCATAGCAGAAGAGTAGCACCAGAAAAGAAAAGGCAAGGGACTAATCATAGATTGCCAAGGCCATGTCTTCATGACCCACACAGACACACCGAGAGTGTACTCTACCAACTTCCCAAGGATCCCAAAGCCAATCGAGTTACACTCTACCCTATCAACTGCATCATGAGAATGACAAGACTTACTCCAAAGTGTGCAGTGAGAATTAAATAGGTTAATGTTTGTAAAAATCTAGAAGAAATACCTCTTTAGTGGCATGCACTTAATGAATGTTTTCATACCTGCAAGATTTATTGCAATTTTCAATGTAAAGTACAGGAGATAGATATTGACAAGTATAAATTTGGAGAAGGGAAGTTTTATTGGTTCCCAAAAATAATATTGGATGCTAAAAAGAAAATTTTTAAAGTGACTCAAAATGTACTTTTAAACAGACTTTTAATTTATCCTACATGCTATCTATAATGGCACTAAGAATAGAACTGGGAAGAAAAAGATATAGGTCCAATGTAATTTACTACCAATATAAAGGAGTACAAACAAAATCAGTTTGCAGACACAAGCTCACTGAGAAAACCTTTAGCATGTCATGGTAGAAGAGTGAAGACCTGAGGTTTGGCTGGTCACAAAGGGAACATTCAAAAGGAGAAATATGCAAAAGAGTTTTGAGCAATTTTCCTTGTTCCTAGAAAGAAATGATCATATTTATCATAAATTGATTATTTTATCAATATCAACCCAACTAATTTCCCAGTGCATGCTTCTTCATTGATCTTTATTCTTTCAATATACATTTTTTCAGATACTTACTGCTCTTAGGCACAGGCAAAAGGAATCCAATGATGTAAGTACATTAAAGTGAGAAAGACAAAAAGTACTTATTTCTTAAAAAGAAAATGATACATACTAAGTGATTTGTGTTATATTTAGGGTGGTATTTATGAGAATGAGCCCAGCCATTAAAACATTTTCTACTCAGATGTAGCATTCACACTCATTAAAAAAAATGAACCACAGAGCAAGTATCACACATCAATTTAGAAAAAAATTTGATGACAAAAAAAAAAAGGTAATTGTTTCACCAATACTTCCTCTTTTGTGTCTGAGGACAGGAGGCAACTCATGTAGCCTATAAACATTTAAATTAACCCTGAATGTTTCAGCCTTTGGACTCAAACAGAGGAATGCCAGCCAACTGGATCCACCAGTCCTGCGAAAGCCACGAATGATGATTCAGATAACATCCTCAGTTTCTCCCTTACATCTCTCGGTGTCTAGGGTGAACTCCAATGGCCTGGAGGACCCCTCCACTGGAATAGCATCTCCCTTCCTCCTGCTGCCTTCCTTAGTCTCCTCATGGATGGAGTGTGGCAGGCAGTCCTGTTCTGAGTTACTCCAGACGTAGCCAGGTAAAGTCACATGACAGTCGGGCAGTCTGTTGGCAGTCTTGGCGGGTTTGCCAGAGATGAGCACCATGCGCGTGCTGGCCGCCATCTGTGACTGGCTGCTGGTGCTGTGAGTCACTGTGGTGAGCACTGAGCCGTATCTGTGGTTGCCACACGGTGGCGGCCTCTGCCAGTCGATGGACAGATTCCATCTATTCCACATCTTCTTCACCTCAGCCTGAACCTAAACCACCAGAAACATGTTGTGTGTTAGAAATAATAAGAGACCCTGCAATCTTGTTACAAGGATGTTTAAATTATAGTAATAATCACTTAATGAAATTCCTCTATGTGCCTGGGATTGTAGAGATACATAGTCGCTCAACTTCAAAAAACCTTCCAGATGGGTGTTATTTTTGGAGATGAGCAAACACAAGCTTAGAGTGAGTCAAAGGGACTTCTCCAAGACCAGTATTTAAATAGAAGTTGAAATGTGTCCAATAGAAATATCTCACAAGGAACAGAAAAAAGAGGATTCCGGTTGGAGAAGAAATAATTAAACAGAGGCACTATGGACTGCAGAACTCTCTGCATATGACAAGTTCATCCAAACCCCTACACTAGAGAAACCTGACCCAACTCTTGTATGGCTTCTAGGAGCACAAGTTTACAACCCTAGGATGATCCCAGACTCCTTAAAGTACCTACTGGAAAAGCTCAACAATGCCGGGAAAGTTCACTGTTTGTTCTAGCCAGCACACCTGATAACAGCTTCCTGACTTCCTTTCTTAGGACATTTATCAAAAAGGGCTCACATCATAAATATGTGGTTCTGGCAACTTGGAATCTTCTCTCTCAAGGGTTGGAGAGCCATTTCTTCACGTTGTAATCCTCACAAGAAACCTAGCTTTGACAACTAAGCTACAGGCATAGCTGGTCTGAGAGAGAAAACTGCAACTCTCTCTGTTGTGAAAGATAGATAGTAGCTATGCCCACAACTATAATGAAAACTCAGTAGAGCGGGACAATCTTGGAAAGCCCTGCCAAACCTCTCCATTCCCCTTTAACCACTCCTCTGCTTATGTAATCATGCTTGAATTGCTGGCTATTTCACTGAGCAGCCATGGTTGCTGTTTCCCCTCCCCATAGATACACAAAGATATAAAAATGTAAGTACATTGCTGTTAGAGGCAACAGAAATCCCTTGTGAGCCAACAGCTCTTTAAGGTGATTTGCTCCTTCTCTGTTTCTGGGTGGTCTATATTGTCACGCTTCATAACTGCATCCACATGGACTAGCTGTATACTTTTTCACTTCTCTGACTCTACTGAGCCCCTAATTGCCTTCCAGCCCTTTCTCACTTTAAAACATCCTCTTGCTCAAATTAGAATGAGCTCAATTCTTTCCCCTACTCTCAGTAGTTACTGAAGAAAATTCATGTCTACTTCAACTAGTGGCTGGGTCTTTGACAACAGCTGAAGCTGAGCAATGTCATGGAAGAAATTCAACTTGAGGGCCAGGGATTTAGCTCAATGGTTCCGCTGCCTGCCTCGCAAGCCCAAGGTCCTGAGTTCGATCCTCGGTACCAAAAAAAAAAAAAAGAAAGAAATTCAACTTGAAATTTAATGCCCATACTATAATTACCATAGGCAAACTACAGAAAAAGAAATGAAAGAAGGCTGGTAAAACAGAAATGCATGCACTGTAAATGTGCTTTTAGTCAGGTGGGGCTTTTGTTCTCAATCCTTCTACTGAAGATTAAATTCTACCACTATTGCACATTTCCAGAAGGAAGCTTTTTTTTTTTTTTAAGGTCTAAGAGAAACAGTAGAAAGCTGGGAAGCTGACTAAAACAACAAATTCCCACCTGTTTATTTTGGCAAAAAATAAACACCCATACTACTCACCCTTGCTGCAAAATAAGATGAAAACAATGCAGAAGTAACTCAGAAAATGAACAAGTTGCTATTTAATTTAACTTCTTTCTGTGAAGACTGGCATAGCATCCCACAATGCCAAAAGCCTAAATGTGATCAGAAGTATCTAGTGATCTATCACAATAATAAGTATCAAGTTGCACCAAGTTGAAAATCTGAGACAAGGTGGCAACTCATCCAACAGATGTTAAACATTACAAAGTGAAATGTGTTATCCAATGTGGTCACTTCTCTTTGGCCACCTCCTAAATGAATTAAGACTGTTACATCACCAGCTTGTACCTTAAAAAATAAAATATTCTAATGGATTTGTCCCAGGGAAACTTATATTTGAGTTTTTAATAGAATTTGAAATGGAATATAAATTTCAGTATTAACTAGAATATGAAATTCACTGGCCATGTAAGCATCAATTTGTATTTCAACAACTTGTTTTTTAATACGAGACTATGCAACTGAGTTGACATTTAACAATGATAAAGCCTTAGCTTATTTACATTAATGCTCACTTTCTCAAAATAATTTATGATTAAAATAATTAAAATATCTCCCTTTCCACCACCCAGTCTTATAAATCCTTGAAGTCCTCTAAAGAAATTCAGAACACATTATCCTGGCCATTTATAAGATGCTATGATTTCAGCTTTGGTTCCCCAAAGTCCTTGTGTTGCAACTTCATCTCCAATAGAACAGCATTAGGAGGTGAGGTCTATGGAGGTATTTAGGTCTTAAGAGCACTACTCTCATGAATTAGGAAAATGCTTGAAGTTGTGAGTTTGGTCTCTTGATTTGCTCTCAGCCATGGAATGACCCAGCAAGAATGCCTTTGCCAGATGTGGGCCCCATGACCATGGACTTTCCAGATTTTAAAACCATAAGAAATAAACATCCATTCATTCATTATATATTACCCAATCTCAAGTATTGTGTTACAGCAACACAAAATGCACTAACATACAAGCTTTTTTGAAGCTAGACCTGTCCACTGTTGGAGGGCTCCTTCATACCCACCTCTCCATTGCAGTAGCAGTAGACAATAGACACGAAGAAACCCTGCAGAACAGAAAAGAATATGAGCCCACTGACAATTCATGAAATTCATAACATTAAAGTATCTTGTGCCAAATTACTAAGTTTAAAAACTGGTTTTAAATGATTCCTTCAGAAAATTATACAAATTATTTTCTCTCCTAATATTTCCAAATCCTTAAGTTTATACTAAATTTGTTTGAGATCTTTCTTTGGTGTCAGCTGCTCCAAATAAGTGAATAAAATGCTCTAAGATAAGGAAATGACTTCTATTATTCTGATTTCATTTATATTGTCACTCATAGATCACATAATACCCATGCCCTCCTTGGTGAAATATATTTATACTCTGTGAATGCTAGAAACTGCAAACATAAAATATTCCAAGGTAAAAACACAAAAAAATATTTTCATTCACTAAAAAATCTCTGTTGAACACATACAGTGTGCTAGGAGCTGCTCAGCATGACAGGGGTAAACAATGCAACCAAAACAGCTCTGTAAGAGAAGACATGGGTCAAATACAAACAGTCACATGAGAAAGACAAGATAATAAGGGTTAAGCTGACAGAATAAATGCTGTCAGAATGATAGAGTGGATATATTAGATGAGGAACTCAACAAGGCTTCTCTGAGGGGGTGACATTTAGGCTGGTTTGAGTGGCAAGAATAAGAAACCAGTTGTGTTGTGTAGTGATTAGGGGGAAAGCATTGCAAGCAAAGGGTTCAGAAAGTGTGAGCTGCTTGAGGAACAGAAAGTGTGGAAGTAATCGTGGGTTTGGGTGGCTGGAACATACAGGGATCCATGGAGTAAGGTGTGACAAGGTCCACATCACACAGAGCTGCAGGTGTCAGGCAATGGCATTTGAACTCTATTCTGAGTGCATCAGGAAAACTTTGTTTATTTCTGGCAAGTAAGTGATAGAATAAAATGAATATTTTTAAGATATTTCAGGCCATCGTGCATGGACTACATTTAAGGAGACAAGGAGTGGTAGGGCAGAGGTTCATCCATGTGAGAGATGACAGTCATCATAGTTCAAAGAAGATGAAATGTGTCCAATAAGGTCTTCTCTTTTTTGTCTCCTTTTCCCTTTTTTCTGCCTCCTTTTCCCTTTTTTCTGCATCTTCCCTTCATCTTTTACTTTTATTTCTTTTCCATACACAAAAGCAGAGGTCCCTGCTCTTCAGGAGTTACAGACTTTATAACAATCTGCTGCTTATTTCAGAGCCAGGGTTACTGATGTGAGAAACAGCACCAGAGCTGCCTCTGCTGGGGTCAGACTTAAGCTGACCCCTGCAGGAGGGAACACCACGAGCACCAAAGAACAGTGCCCTGTCGTGGCCCCTGGAAGTTGGGCCCATCAAAGCCAGAAACAGAGCAGAGAAAAATTTGCCAGCGAAAACAAAAAGCCCACAAGGGCTCAGTGATTAGGCAGGACAGTTTACCTGAAAGGAGTTGAAGAAGAGCTCACAGTGCATGCGGATCTCCCACCAGAGCCCTGTGAATGAGTGTGGCTGGCAGATGAATACAATGTAGTGCACACCGAAGACCAGAACCAGAACCAGTGTAGACTTGGAGAGTTTCCTGAAAGAGAAGAGCAAGACTTTTATTAATTAATCTAGAGTGCTTTTCAATAGAGGCAGCTTGAGAGAAATACTTAAGCAGTGCTAACAAGACTTGACTGTACTCTATCTCTTTGGACCCTACCACTTTTGCTAGTTATTGTTTTTGTTTGTTTGGTTGGTTGGTTGCTCTTTGTTCTTCCTCCTCTTTCTATAACTCTTATACTAAATCATGTAGTTGATTCTGCTTTTTTTTTTTAAAGACAGATAGACAGAATAAAATGGAAAGCAGAGAGAAAGCTGCTGCTTCCTGCCTACCATGCTATGGACTGTTTCTTCTCTGTAATATCCCTCTGCCATGCCCACCTTGTCTAAGTTGCCCAGGGTAGGCTCAAACTCATGATTATCCTGCCTCCACTTTCCCAGAGTGCTGGGATTACAGGCATGTGCCAGCACATACATTAAATCTTTATGTATCCCTTAAATCTCTCATCTCATTTGCAGTCTTCTTGATTACAGGATACTATTTTTATAAAGTTGTTAAATAGCATTTTTTTTCTATCAGAAGACTTTTTTAGATCTTATGCTTGAAACTGAAATAAGCATTTCCTCTACTAATATTAGCTGCCCTCACTTTCAGAGGCAGCATTTAGTTTGTTTTGTACAGCTAAAATTCATCTACTTTTAGAAATAATTTACATATTCGTGTGAGCTACCTGTGGTCAAGTTCTCCTGCTTTCTCATAATATTCTCTGTCAAATTCTATAGGAAACTCTCTATAGTTCTATTTTGTCTAATTTTGTTTTTCAAGACAATGAGTTGGCTGACACTATTTCCCTTAGCTGATTTTTCACACACATTTTCTTGTGCATTTGGAGAAATCCTGGGTTTTCCAATAGGATCATGTGATAGTTAATTTTACACGTTAACTTGCATGAATGGAGGAATACGTAGAAAATTAGTAAAGCATTATTTCTGTCTGTCTATGAAAGTGAATCCTGAGGTGATTGGTGTGGAAAATCTTGACTGAATGTGAATGGGCAACATCCCATCAGCTGGGGGACCAGACAGAACAAAAAGGCAGATGAAAGATGAACTTGTTCTCTCTTCTTCTGCCCTTGGACATCAGAACTCCAGGTTCTTGAGCCACTGGACTCTGGGACTTATACTAGAAGCTCCTTGGGTTTTCAGGCCTTCATTTTGGACTTAGGGTTACACAATTTTCTTCCTGGTTCTAAGGCTTTTGGACTTGAAATGAGCTAGGTGTCCTAGGTACTCCAATTTGCTGAAAACTTATTGTAGGACTTCTCAGCCTCTATGATTGCATGAGCCAATTCTCATGTATCTACCTATGTCTTCTATTTATCTATATGTCTACCTATCTACAGCTATATCTATCTGTCCTATAGGTTCTGTTTCTCTGAGAAACCCTGACTAATATGGATGGGGTTACTCTAAATGATCTCTAACGATCTCCACCTCTTATTACCCATGTTCCTGTTAATCTTTTCTTCCTGGTTTTGGGCAGGGCCAGGGACTTGCTTCTGACAGATTGTGACAAAGACAACAGGATGCCACTTCTGTGATTATGTTTCATAAGACTGTAACCTGCATCTTCCTAGAAGACTTTCTCCTTTGCTTCTTCAGGGAAACAAGCTGCCATGCTATGAGCTGCTCTCCAGAGAGGCCCATGTGGTGAGAATAAGTGGCTTCTGCACCAAAGCCAGCAAGCAACTGAATCCCACCAACAGCTGTTTTATTTTGTGTTGTTTGCACTTTTATCTCAAAATAATTGTTTCACGTGGCTTCTTTCTTACTCCTCAAATTTTTCTTTCCACCTATGAATTATTTCCTCTCTAGTAATCTCAAACAATCTAACCTCTTCTCACTAGTCTTTCCTTCAGCTGTTTTAGTTATTATTTATTTTGCTTATTGGAAACAAGCTGTGTAGATGAGTTGAGATCACACTAGACAAAGATTAAAGAGAACTGGATTCAGATTCTGCACCTGATTTTAACTACCTGTGTGATTGAATTTTCTCTTTGAAATGATGAAATAGGGCCCAGATGTCCATAAGAGTTCTGATATTTTACAGCTTTACTAGGAATCATCACTCACACACATACGCTTTCTTATCACAACATTTATATTCCAACTTCTTCAGAAGATGAAGAATCCCACAAAATTCATATCACAATGCCTAAATTAGATGGCTACAATTACACATTTGCTCTACTTCATTCTCCTTTTCCTGTCTTATTCTCAACAGTCTCTGGACCATCTGTTCCTCCCAGATCAGTGCCATTCATCTATCCCTCATTCATAGTTTCTCCTGTAGCCTCTGCCACTTTTCCTCTGCTGCTCCTCACCCTCACACCTCATAACTTGCATTACTTACAGCAATTCAGTTTGAAAAATTCCATATTAAGTCCATTTTGTTCAAGACAGCATCCCTGAGAAGCAATGTGTTTTTCTGACCTAACTGATTTTTCCCACTGTCAGAGCTCCTTGAAGATGTTTGTCCTCTTCCTAAATCTTGACCAGTAAGCATTGTCTTTGCATGATTATAAAACTGCACACAACACTTTGAATGCCTTCAAGACATTTCATTTCAATCTAATCCAAGGAGCCAGCATTAACTACACTTGTAAAACCTTAAAAATCTTGTCTAACCTCACTTTGAAAAGACAATTACATTTCCTTCTTTAAGATGAAGGCTAAATCCCCCTAGAGACTGCTCTCAAAATTGAGCTAACTATTGATTATAAGAGCATCAACAGATCCAATCATATATTGCTTATATATGATCAACCAGAGCAACATGGTCATACATGTAAAAGTTCAGATATGCTTTGATTTCATGCAGATGAAGGAAAAGTTGTATTTGGCAATTAAATCTATTTCTACTGGATATCCTGTTAGCTTAGTCATCTGAGTTGTCTCTCTCTTTGTCTATTACTTGCCTCCTTTACAAAGCCATAGAGATAAAAATTAATATGTAGAAAACAGATATAAATTGCATTCATTTTCTGTTGCTGCATAACAAATCAGCTAGGGCTGCATTCTTAGCTGGCCTGAGGGTTCTCTTGTAAACTCACTCAGATTTCTTGAAGCCTTCCATTCTTTGTAGTTGTAGGACTGTTGTTGGCTGTTGGTCAGGGCTCACTCTATTACTATAGGCTGTCACCAGGTCTTAACCATAGGCTTTCACAGTGCATCAGATCGTGTCTTAAAGCAAGCAGGAGAATCTCTCCTCAGGGTGCCAGTATGGAGTCTAATATCATCAAAGGAGAGGCAGACCCACCTCCTTTTCTATGTACTATAACCCAATCAAGGGAAAGGCAACTATTTCATTAGAAGTCCTGCCCACATTCAAAGTGAAAGGTGACAGAGAAGAGATTATATAAGGCATGTACATCAGGGGCTAGGAAACTTGGGGACCACCTTAGAAGTTAGTCTATGACACCAATGAAAATAATTTTTGTCCAGAGAAATGCAGATTAATCCAGTAGAATACCACTGATTGTAGCCCCATAAATACTGACACATTTTGCTCATTTGCATTCATTTGTAAATTTTTTTTCAGCATTCATTATCTAACCCTACATTTTTTAATCAGTTGTAATATTTTACCTCTTTGTCATTAACAAGTTCAGTAAGATATTGGAGGTGTGTTGTTTGTATGAGCTATGATTACATTTTTCTTTTTAGAATGTGTTCTGCAATGGCAAAGAATAACTTGAAGGGATGTCCCAAGCAAATGCACACATAGACTGTTGCATTTCCATTCATGTCAGAATGGGCATCCAGAAATTCTGAGCATTGATCTCTTTCAATGTCCATCTGGTCACCAGTGCACATTGTGCAGCTTTACAGCTTGCCTCTGAAAAGGCACAGCTGTCTATTGAGATGATTCGGAGATGTAACAATGACAGTGGTCTTCTGGCTTGATGGAAATATGGCGATGGTTCTTCTGTGTCCAGGGTTAAAGTCATGAGAGAAATCCAAAGAAGTCAAATGATTTGGAGACTCATTGGACTGTCCAGAAAATAGCTGCCCCATTCTTGTAGTCTCTGTCCCTAGGTGATCTTTCCACAGGTGAATAGTTCAGGAAATTCTCTAATTTCTTTAGATTTAGCTAATAAAATAAAATCCTATTTCTCTTAAGCCTATCTTGATCCCTACTTAATCTTTATCTCTTTTCTATGCACATAGCAGTTTGTACCTGCATGTTTACTGATACTCTTCCTACTTTAGCAGAGAGATTAAATCATTCTCTCCTTCTCTCCCTTGTACTAGATTGTGGGTAGAAGGAAGGCACTCAGCAAATACAGCAGTTGCCTATTTAGCACATGGCCCTGTTGCGGCTTCTTCTGATTGCCTCATTTTACTCTGACAATCACCATGTGAGAAGACTATTATTACCCCATTTCCAGTGAAGAGAGAGGTCCAGAGAAGGAAAGTGCTCACCCAAAATTACATAGTAAGTGTGAGGCAGCCTTAAAATTTGTCCTCTTAAATGTCACACTGCGTAGCAAGCATTGGTTGGATTTATTCTAAAAATAACAAACTTGAAATGTGAATTTGTTTAACATGGAATGGAAAATCAAATTAGCCAAAACATTCAAAGATTCTTTGTCATTCAATCTTGCATTTTTCATATATCTTATGTTTTCTGCTACTGTCAACTCATCTTAACTTTGTAAAGGAATTGGACTGTAATATAAAAAGGGGAGAAATATATTAACTTTGTTGTTAAATCTGATAGTTAACATCAATTTTGTTTTTAAATAACTGGATTTAAACTGGATGTGGGGGCACCTGCCTATAATCCCAGTATTATGGGAAATTGATTCAGGAAGATCCCAAGTTCCAACCCATCATGGGCAACTCAGTGACTTAGCAAGACTTATCTCAAAATAAAAAAGGGCTGAGGATGTAGCTCAGTGCAAAGGTCCTGGGCTCAATCCTTAGTACCCCCCAAGAAAACGTATATAATATATATAATGTTTTATCTTTATAGATGTATATATGTCTATATGTATATATACATATCCATATATGTGTATGTATACATCATTCAGAACTAGAGAAATAAGTAGTGTTCAAGCACCATTGCATTCTTTCACTTTATGAAGAAGAACAAAAGGCTAGCTACATCTTCTGTTGCTCTATCATCCTTTGGCCTCTGTCTTCCCCAATGGGATATAACATGAGACAAGCTATATTAGTATAGCATAGGTCTTTTGCTGTAAACTCTTAGGAGTGATTCATATTATAATATTACCACTACAGCACACTGAAAATAACTGGAGCTAGCAGCTTCTAGTTTGTCCACATTGTGCATGCTATGGAGACTCCAGGCCATACCTGCACTCTCCACTGCTTAACAGCAAATGGTGTCCACATGATGAAGGAGGATGAGTCACCAAAAGACTTCAAGAACATCTTTCAATAAAGATCAAAATTCTGACAAGGATTGAGACCTTCTCTCTATGTCTGAAACAGCATTTCATAACTATCTGCCACAGAGCATTACTGATTTAATGGTTATAAAGACTAATCTACCTCCACCTGATACTGCTTGTACATGTTCAGGTAGATAGTGGCCACTATCAATCAGAATCTCCAAGGTGTGTTCACTGGGACAAATGTACATACTCTCAAGGTAGTTTTGATCGATGATTATTAACACTCAATTTTACCATTTTCATGAAAGGATAAATAACAGAATTCCCTAAATCAGTGTGTTTAAAAGTTATTAAAAATTTATATTTGGTAGATGCTAATTTGATAGCAGAGTTGGACACAGTAGAGTAAATAAGCTTTCTTGTTTATTTTCAGTTATGACATATTTTTAAATGCAAATAAAATTGTCTAATATCATTGATAGATTTTCCATGTTTCATATTTTAAAATACCAATTTGCTGAGAGTAAATAAGAAATACCCTTAGAATTTAAGAAACATTTTAGATTATTTAATATATTGAACATATGCAAACATATATATCAAAGAAATCATATAATTAAACCAAACCCAAGTAAATAAATTGATAAATTTAGCCTCCTAAAGACATTTTAGATAATTTATATTTGTTTTTTACTCTAAATACTTCTAATACACTAATAATACTCTGCTAATACTCTTTTACTCTAAATATTCTAAACCCCAAATATTTCCTCTCCTGGAGCTCATTCTGGAGTTACCTGTATTGCTTTCTCATGTCATGCCCAACTGCATTGGTCTCCCAAATCTTGGTGGCCAGAACTCTAACGGTATTCAGAAAAAGAACAAAATTCAACTGAAAGAGAAGATGATATTACAAATTATTAAATTAATCTTCAAAATTTTTATAGAAATTTACACTATTCAAAATTAAAGATTGCCCACTCCACAAATGTGGATGAGGGAATCTTAGCTAAGACACTGAAAGGTTACTGATTCTTGACTTGCCTTCATAAAAACACAAATGAAGGTTAAAAAAATTTCAGCACTGAAAACCAGAAATATCTGAGAATAATCTGACAGGATCCAATTTCCAAACCAGAGTTCAGATGAAACCTGGGGCAGAACTGGCAGGGCAAGAAATAATAGTTATTATACAAATGCAATTATATAAATGCCCTATTTAAATTTAATTAATGTCTACCTTCTGTCTGTATCTTTAGGGAGAGGAAAAGTAAAGTTGCCTAGGGATCTCACCTATGATGTAGAAAAGGTATTTGACAATGTATATTAAGATTTAAAACTGAACAAAAAAGATGTTGTATAAGAAAACACCTGCTGCAGTGTAGGGGAATCAATTGAATTTGACATGATAAGGATGTGGGCACATGAGGGACAACCAAGTTCTATGTTTTAAAAATGGAGTCAGGTGTGCTAGTGGGGTAGCACACTTTTCTGTTCAAGGACCTCAAAGATAAGTGAAGAAATCCACCATGAAGAAGAAAGTAGAGGTCTCTGGAGATCACAAGGAGATGAGAGCCTAGGTTCCTTCATTCAGGGAGAAGGCTCCTGTCTAGAAAAGCTCTAATACTTGGGAATAATAGGAATGTAGCTTGCCAAGAGTAGTCATGGTGTGAGTCCCAGAGCAGGACCCAGGTGAGAGAAGACATCAGGTTCTGCATTCCCAAAGATAACCTCTCCTGTAAAGACCTCAACATGTCTGGAGTTTGGAGAATTTGGGTTATAGGGTAATTTTATGTGCCTGAGTTATCAATTCAGCTGATTGGTTGTATCAACTACAAATCCCCTGCTACCCTATTTACTACCTCCTACCGTTGACTGCCCTATAGGGACCTCTCAACAATTTCACAGCTTGTGAGCTGGTAGAAGAAAGATATTTCTAAGCTAATCATAGCTGCCATTTTTTGAAACACTGTCTAAGTCCCATATGAGTATGGGACAGACATTTTTCTTATGTCCATTTATTACATATAAAAATTCCAGTTCAAAGAGATTAACTGATTTGGTCTAGGCTAACCACCTATCAGCTGAAATCTAAGCCACGTCATTGTGAGTTGCTATTGTGAATTCTTCATTATAATCTCATACCTTCCTTTCAGATAGATAAAAAGATGTAAAACATGAGAGTTGAGGATTTCAATTTCCACCCACTACAGCATGCTGCTCACAGACACAACCTTTTTCAATAAGAATGTGAGATCCTATTCATCTATCACATGGGTTGACTTTCTCAATGGCCAAATTTGGTTCATGTCCAGTGTATCTGGGATGTAGAGTGGCAAGCACGGATGCATAACTCCCATGTAAAGCATTAAATGGGGTGAACTGAAGCCGGAAGAGGTGTGGGAGCAATGTGGGCTGGGCCTTGCCATTCATCATTCCCTATTTCTTAAAAAGGAAGAATTACAAATGGCTTCAGATGAGCCAGCCTTAAGTTCTACCCCACTAAAATACCCAGAAACAAGGATGCTGCTCTCAGGTCAGAAGATCACAAATGAATACTAAAAGTTCCCAGAAATTTGACTGGAAGAGATACACACAACTAATCTATCTATTTAATAACTGAGAAGACAAACTTAAGGACAACTAAATGGATTTCAGAAAGAATTCAGAAAAACTAAGATTGAATAGACTTAGAAGACTGATGAAATACATGCATGCACATACTCATACTGAAATACATAACAATAGTTGGATAAAATTCCATATGATTATTCTGAATAATTTAAGAAAATATAGAATATAGGGTAGTTAGAAACTAAGTTACTGAGTACTTAATGTTATAAATGCTTTGAATGAATTGGTTCTTTAGTCTTCACAACAGCAGTACAAGGCAGTTGTATTACTGTCTTCATTTTACAAATGACGAATTTGAGGCACAAGTTACACAAATTATCGTTGACAACACAGCTAGCAAGTGGCAGAATCCCAGTGCGTCATCCTATGCAGCCTGTACTCACAGGGTGCATTCTTAACCACTCCACAATCCTGTCCATCAAACAGAGCTGCCTTGATATCTGACTGAGGTACAGAACAAAATATTTTTGAGAGCAGGATAGATTAACAACAGATTACAAAGAACCTAAAATATAATCAAGTTTTAAAATCGTCATTAGAATAAATTAAACAAAGAGCTGGAAATTTCAGCCAGGAAGCTCCAGCTCCTGGGCCATCTGCCCTGAGACTACCCTGGAGTTTGCCTTGCCTGCTGCCTCCTTGGCCCACTCCTCCACTCACATGACCTCACTGGGTCAGCTCATTCTCAGGCTTCAGGCTGAACATCACCTTTTTTCAGAAGTTCTTCTTGACTCCCCCACCCCAGCACAGTACTTGACACAGTGAAGTGTTAGCTTCACCTACAACACTTAGACTACACTTAGACCGAGCAGAATTTGGTGTTCATCTCCTCCACCTTGCACCTCCATTGCCTCGTGGTGTGCCTGAAATATTCTTAATGCTTAGTGAAGACTTACTAAATGAGTTCGTGGATGAATGAATGAATGAGATACACCTGATCTAAGCACTGCTTATATTGGAGTAAATCAGCAGCTCTCCTTTTCATACACCCCTTTGTGATATCTCTTCCAAAAGACAAAATCATAAAAAGAAATCAAAATTTAGCTCTAGGAAAGCTGGCAGTTGAAAAGATCTGTAAAACAACCTTTCTGCGCCTGAAATGGTCATCAGTGCCTTTAGATGAACACTGGAAGAAATGTCTTCTCCTTGGTCCTGATTTTTCTTTTCAAGGGAGGAGTTTCAACTGATACACATTTTTTCCCTCTCCCCTGCCCTATCTTTTTCCCATTCTTGGAGGCGTTGGATTGGTGTATGTGATGAGTAAATATGGGAAGAGATACCAAGAGTGCTTGAGGCAGCTCATCCCCCTTTCTCTTGAGGACTTGCAGTGAGCAGACAGTGTTCAGCCTCTCCAAGGACGGGCGCCTGTCCCTCCATATGCGGTGCCTGGCTAGAGAGGCCTTCACTAATTATGAACTTCTTCAGCAGGCCCACTTGGCTAACAAACCTAAGGTCACATCCTCCAACTCAGCCTCTAGTAGCAATTTTGTTTCTAGGATTTTGTTTTCATTCTCCCTCTACCCATTTTGTCCTAGAACTTGACTTGTTTAAAATTAGGGCAGCAAAGGAGGATGTTATGCTTATTTTATCCCAGAAACCCTCTGAATACACCCTGTGTACACATCCCAGATATTGGCTTATTTTTCAACATCATAAACATAAATATTTTTACTCTATTTTGTGCAAAATGGAAGTAAAGAATGAACTTTTAAATAATAAGCAGTAAACTTCCTAATCTATATCAAATACTATAATTTGATTAGCTCTATGACAAGAATAAAGACAAAAGCTAATTTGTTATCAGCTGGAATTCAACTTGTAATTTAAGGACAGGATCTATGGTAAATGTTACATCTTTAGTTTTATTTGAGGTTCTATTTCTGACTGATTTAAGAAAGGAAAGGAGTTCTGGAAGGGAGATTTTTCTCTGGGGGAAAATTGATTTGGTATTTGCAATTCTGTCAAAGATTAGAGATTAACTTTTTTTCCATTTTTCTTAAAATTCCTTCCTTACCAATTATCTCTCTCATCCCCATACCTCATTTTTGGAGGTGTTTTTGGAGCCTCCTCTAATAAAAATTGAGGAAAACTGAATCGGTCAAACTGTAGAGAGAAATTTGTACCTTCTTTGTCTCCTTTTCATATTTTGAAAAGAGCACTGGGTATAATATTTTTTAAATGCATCATTTAAAGTTTTTCCTAAAGGCTTTTATGAGAACTGTTGTCTTACCCCCGCCAGGAGTCTGCGAGATAATTTTTTGACAGGTATGTTAAACAAAACCTTCATCAGAAAAAGAAACAGGGGCTGTCTGTTTAATAATGCACCCTGCATAGTATTCAGCATCCTGAGGAGTCACTACTTGGTTAGTCATTCGAACTAGAGCATTACTCACACAATGAGTAATGAGTAACATCAAAAACTATTTGTTGGACACAGAGGTTAGTTCTTAGCTTGGATACACAGTGGCACTATGAAGTAAGCATCTAAAAGCATGTAAATATATGCCAATAAAAAGTGACTCACAAAAGAAATAATGACTCCTGACCCCTCTTCCCTAATATTCACTAACAACTATAAACTCTCACAGTTACATCAATTCTCTGAGGGCTTACTCAAAGATCAAAATCTCTTCAACAATGCTGGTAGATTAACATCAGACAAAATATTACCAAAATGCAGCCCAGCTTGGAGATTCTTTGATTTTATGGCTTATTTTTAAGGAGTTACTGGAAAATGAACTATTGCCTGCAGAGAAAAATAACCATATAAATTCAAAAGTCTCAATGAGTGACTAACCCTGATTTCCAATTTCAGTTTTAGTGCTTTTTTTAATGCCAACTGAAAGTTACTCCAAGACAAAGTTTTGGATTTTCTATATCATTACCCCTATTCTACAAAACTTGCTTTGATGTTTCTATTATAAGAAAGGTGATTCTGGAAGAAGTTTGTATCCTTCCAGTATAAAACTTATGTCAATAAATTAGTTATCCATTTCTATTTTTATTGATTACAGATTCTACCATTTTTTTCCTTAAAAATAGTTCTTTTTGCACATCCACATTTTAAGCCAGCTGAGATGAAGCAACACATGGTACAAGAACAGACATTGAGGCTTCAAGGCGACCCTGGAGAAATGGATTTGGTGAGTGGTAAAGTCTCTCAGAGTAAACTGTACAAACCTTCGAGATATCATATTGATGTCAGAGTCCACCAGATAGGACTATGCACTTCAAAATAAATAATCAGTGCCTACCTTC